GTGGAGACGTTCCATTTCATTTAGTCTGCTCTGATCTGTATTATTTATTTTCCTCTGCTAGCTTTGAGTTTGATTTGTTTGTGGTTTTTCATTTCCTTGAGGCATGACTTTGGGTTGTCATTCTGTGATCTCTCAGTCTTATTAATGTACGCCTTAAGCACTATACATTTTTCTCAGAGCACAGCTTTGGTTGTAGTCCAGATAACTTGTTTTGTTGTTGTCATTTGTTTCAAGGAATTTTTAAATTTCCATCTTTATTTCATTGTTGACCTAAGGATTATTTAGGAGAAGATTGTTTATCTTCCATGTTTTTGTTTGGTTTTTGTGAGTTCTTGGAGTTATTTTCTAGTTTTATTCCACTGTTGGCTGAGACGGTGCTTGATTTTTTACTTTCTTTGAGATTATTGAAACTTGATTTTGGCCTATGAATGTTCCACGTGCTGCTAAGAAAAATGTATATCCTATAGTTTCAGGGTGGAATGTTCTATAGATGTCTGTTAGATCTATTTATCTAGGATTCAATTTAAGTCCAATGTTTCTTGGTTGACTTTCTACCTTGATGATCTGTCTATTGCTGTCTTTGGAATGATGCAATCTCCCACTATTATTGTATTGCTGTCTATCTCCTTTCTTGGGTCTAGTAGAATTTGTTTTATGAAGCCAGGGGCACTGATGTTAGGAACATATGCATTTAAAATTGTTATATCTTCTTGTTGGATTGATACCTTTATCAATATGTAATAACCATCTTGTCTTTTTTGACTTTTGTTAATTTAAAGTCTGTTTTATCTGATAGGAGAATTGCTACTCCTGTTCATTTTTGGTTTCCTTTGTGTGGAATATTTTTTCCCACTCATTTACCTTGAGTCTAAGGGGTCTGTGTGTGTGAAGTGGTTCTCTTGAAGGCAACAGATCTTTGAATTGTGTTTTTTAATCCATTCAGCCATTGTGTATCTTTTAAGTGGGGCATTGAAACCATTTATGTTCAGCATTCAGGGTTAATAATGATATGTAAGATACTATTCCATTCTTCATACTGATTGTTACCTAGTTATTTTTTTTCTCTCTATTGTGTTATTGTTCTATATGCCCTGTGAGCTTTATGCTTTCTAGTGTTTTACTGCTGGTGTATTTCGATCTTTTATTTTAATACTTAGAACTCCTTTGAATATTTTTTGTAGAACCAGTTTAGTGGTGACAAATTCTCTCAGCATTTGCTTGTCCGAGAAAGACTTTATTTCTTCTTTTTTAAAGAAATTTCATTTTGTGGGATTCAGAATCCTTGGTTGACTTTATTTTGTTTAAGGAGATTGAAGATAGGGCCCCAATTCCTTTTGGCTTATAGGATTTCTGCTGAGAAGTCGGCTGTTAGTCTGATAAGTTTGCCTTTGTAGGCTATTTTATGTTTTTGTCTCATTGCTCTTAGAATTCTTTCCTTCACAATAACTTTGCATAACCTGATGACTGTGTGCCTTGGGGATGACCTTCCTTCCTTCCTTCCTTCCTTCCTTCCTTCCTTCCTTCCTTTCTTTCATTTTTAAGTCAGGGCTTCACTCTGAGGCCTACGGTAGAATTCAGTGGCACGCTCTTGGCTCGCCACAGTCTCAACCTCCTGGGCTCAGGCAGTCCTCTGCCTCAGCCTCCCAGATAGCTGGGACGACAGGCACATGCCATTACACCCAGCTGCTTTTTTTTGTAGAGGCAAGGTTTTGCTATGTTGCTGGTCTTGAATTCTTGAGCTCAAGCAGTTGTCCCACCTCAGATTCCCAAAGTGCTGGGGTTACAGGCATGAGCCACCATGCCTAGCCAGTGATAACTTTTTGCAGTGAATCTTCTAAGGCTTCTTTGGACTTCTTTTATCTGGATGTTTAAATCTTTGGCAAGGCCATGGAAGTTTTCCTCAATTATTCTCTCAAATAGGTATTCCAAACCTGTTGTTTTTTTCTTTTTCATTAGGACACCTATGATTAAGTTTGGACATTTTACATAGTCCCACATTTCTTGGAGACTTTGTTCCATTCTCCTGATTCTTTTTTCTTTATTGTAGTCTGTTTGGATTAATTCAAAAGTCTTGTCTTTAAGTTCTGAGAACTTTTCTTCTACTAGTTCTAGTCTACTGTTAAAATGTTCCACTGCAGTTTTACTTCTTTAAATGATTCTTTCATTTCCAGAATTTCAGCTTATTGGTTTTTGTTTTTGATGCCTATATCTTTGGATTTTTTATCCATGTCCTGAATAGTTTTTTATATTTATTTATGTTGATTTGCAACTTTTGAGTCTCACAGAGGAGTTTTATAATTAACCTTTTCAATTCCATTCTGGAATTTCCAAGATTTCATTTCTGTTAGGTCCATTGCTAAAGTGTTAGTGTGGTCTTTTGGTGTTGTTGAAGAACTCTGTTTTTTCATATTGTCAGAATTATTTTTCTGGTTCCTTCTCATTTGGATAGACTATTTCTTTTCTCTTTTCTTTTTTCTTTTTTTCCTTTATTTTAAAGATGTGGAGTACAATTCAGGGTTAGGTATACAAATGTTCATTATACAGGTACCCTTGTTGATGAGGTGTGCCCCCCTCCCCTGGCAATTTCCCACTACTGCCAATCCTTTTCTTATATTATTATGATAATTGCTTAAGGTTCACTTATGAGTGGGGAGCATATGGTACTCTGTTCTTTGTTTCTGTGATAGATCACTGAGTATGATAGACTCTAAATCCATCCGAGTTGCTGTGAAGTCCATATATTTGTCCTTTATGACTGCATGATAGGGTAGACTGTTTCTTATTTGAGGTTAGCAGGGGTTGATGTAGGCACTGTAGAATTCTCTTGTTTCCATATAGCCTTTGTGTGGTGAGTTTCTCAGTTGCCAGCTGTGGCAGTGCTGTGCTGGATACCTGCACAGACTCAAGGCATCCTGAGTGTCCAGGGTGACTTGGATAGTGGTGTCAGCTGGGATCTGGGATATGACCTTCCCCAAAGCTGAGATATTATACCAGATGTAATGAGTGTGCCAGTTGACCACCAGCCAGGTGGTAGCCCTTTCAGGAGAGAGCCAGCTGCAACGTGGCTGTGTGCTTTCTGCTTGACCTGTGTTGCCCCAAGGAATTATCCAACTGACCTAAGTGATGAGTGGGGTTCACTGTCTTTTTTGAGCCTTTGACAGGAGTGTGGGGTGGGAGAAGTGCTCAGAATCTCTACCTTTGTGCCCTATTGGCTACCCCATTGGGGACTGGGAAGAAGTCTCTGACCACTGGGATACTGCTGCCATGTGTGCAAATCTACACAAAAGAGTTTACCTGAGGAGTGAAAGATTGCTAGGGCAAAGAGACCCACCTAGCTCCCTCACATTAGCCTTAGGCAGTCTGCATTCAGAATGTAAACGTACAAGCTGCCCCAGCCAGGAACTATACACCACAGCAGAGTTTGCATTTGGGGCTTATTCTCTCCTAGGCCAGTTAGAAAGCAACCACCAACAAGGGTAGAGTGACTGTAGCCACTCTTGCTTTGTTTCCTGCACCTCTACACTTGGATTTCAGTGGTGCACAACTGTGGGTAAGGCAGTTTCCCGTGAGGGACTGGAGGCCTGCAAGACTCAGGGCAAGTCCATGCCAGGAGCGCAGAATTCCTGAATTCCCCTGGCTCACCACCCCCACTGGTCCTGGAGGCTGCTTGTGGTTTGTGCAGTGATCCGGACAAGTCTAGCTACTTCCAGTCCAGGCTCATCAATTTTTCTCTTCTTTGTACTCTATGGAAATTATTGCTTCTTTGGTGAGTCATGGGCATGCTCTGGTTCCATTCCTCTCTTAGTGCTGAGGAAACTCTATTTTGGTTTACTTCATGGGACAAACACACTCTAGCTGTTTCTTGTCAGACATCTTAGTCCAGTCTCTCATATGATTTTTAATTGTGTGTTTTTGTCTTTATTTAGATGTAGTCAAATGACAGACTTTAAGTATAATGTACAATTTTTATTTTTAAATTAGAATATCCTACTCTGACTAGACTAGATTTATTATTCATTTTACTTTTTCTAATTTTCTGTGGATTAATTTTTGTCTGTTTAATTATTTGAACATGTATACTTTATTTGACACTTAAAATTAAGTTTTATTTTTCCAAATAGCTTGCCTTTTGTCTTACCACATTATAATGAATGATTCTTTTCCTTTTTGTTGATTTTTTTCTTTGCTGCATCCTAATCATTTTTTTTAAAAATTCTAAAATATCTGTATGGTCTTGTGTTCATAAGCCAATTAGCTGATTGTGAACTTAAATATGTTTTGATATATTATAAGTTCAGTTCTTCCTCATATTTTCTCATCAATTTCCTTGGCTTATTTACTTGTTTTTCTAGATAAACTTTAGACATATTCTGTCATGTTCCAAAAACAAATCTTAGTTTTGGTTGGAATTACACAAACCTGTGCATTAACTAATATTATAATAATTTTATACATAATTAATATTACTTAAAGAAACACTTATGAGCTTCTAGTGACCAGTGATTGTAGCTGAGAGATAAAGCTCACAAAGATCCCTTTGATATAAAAGTATTATTTTATATTTAAAATGATGTATCTAAATTTGTTTCCCTGACAGGCTAACGCTAGTTATTATTTAGTTAATATTGTTTACAATGAAGTCACCAGATTCTTTTAAGACCTTGTACTCCTAATATTCCTTAAACCTTAAAATTATTTATTTTCTACTTTTTCTATAATGAATGTATATTTTATTTGCATTTAGTTTTTATAATTCATAGGTCGCAAGTAAAAGCATAATTGTTCTCTTTTCTCACATATAAGTCTTTTTGTTACATATTAACATTTTTAGTAAATCACTGATGTGTAATAATCTTAGAAAGTATTTCATATTATATTTAGGAATTATTTAGATTATATTTTATATTTGTATAAAATTGGCAAATAGCATACACTGGATTTGAGAATATTAGTCAAAAGCAGTATTGATTTTTTGTTTTGTTTTACTTTCTTATTCACAGTGATGAGGTTGACTAAGCCTACTTTATTCACCAATATTCCAGTAACATGTGAAGAGAAAGACTTACCTGGTATGGCACATACTTTACTCTGTTTGCACCTAGGGAAAAGTTGAAACTTGAGTTGCCTGCATTGCCTTGGAATAAGCCTAGCCTTGCAAATCTTATGCTAATCCTTTGTTGGATTCTTTGTTGCTTTTTTTTGTACCATGAGAATGGTGGCCATCTAAATAACAGGCCTTCGTTATACTCCACAGTACTATTGATAGCCTATGGCAACAGAGACTTTTAGTTTGAGATACATTCATGTTCATAACACTATAAAAATTGCCTTTATCTTCAAATGTTTCATCAATGAATGCATTAGTATTCTCTTTAATTAGAATTATTGGTACTTTTTATGGTAAATTTTTTATTCCGTGATCTACATTTTTTTATTTCTAACATATTCTGTGAGATCAGAATTTTTTGACATGCCTTTGTTGTATTATAATCTAGAAATTAGAATTAAAATATAATTTCTGTTAAAAGAGGTTTTTGAAAAATATCTCTCTCAGCTATTTCTTTATGTAAGTAAAACTTATTTAAAAGGTAGGTATTAGAATTTTGTTTTTCTCTTGCTGCAGGAGATCTCTTTAACCAGCTGATGAGAGATGACCCTTCAACTGTAAATGGTGCAGAAATTTTAATGTTGGGAGAAATGTTGACATTACCACAAAATTTCGGGTAAGAATGATACATTCACATAAGAAAGGCAGCAAAATTTTAAAGCCATCACAAATCAAAAAATAACTATGGAATGAGGAAATGCTCATGGTCCATTTGAGTGGCAAAATAGTGATAAAAATTACATATTGTGATTCTTTTATTTTTTAAAAATGCACACCAAAAGAAAATGTTATTATTGGTTACTCAGATGACAAGATTTTATCTCTCTTCTTTAGATCATATTATATTTTTTAATGGCCATGTGTTGGTCTTTTAACTAATTTAAATTAAATGTCTTTTTCAGAAGCAGCTTATTTATTCGGGCTCATAGGCCTCTCCAAACATGAACTATCAGACTTATCAGCTAATTAGGGACTCTAATTTTTTAAATTTCACCTCTTGTTCTTACCTTTTTTATTATTCCAGCTTATGAATAAGGTAGAAACCTCTGGTTCCACTCTATTTGCAATTGAGAGAATTGAAGCAAAAAGGAAATTTTTAGTTGTTTTTTTTTAAATTTATAGAATATGGTCATTGTCTAGCGTCTTGAAAAATTTGGAAATATATTTATGTAAAAAGTATAAGACTATGTAAAGCAAAGCCCCTATTCATTTTTATTAGAATAACTTCAGAAATAAAATAAATTGTGTAAAATACCCCAAGATCAATTACTTGGGTCTTCTAGATTCAGGGCATAAATTATTTCAAAAATGGAAATTTGACTTTTTCAGTTACAGATCCTAAGACTTAGCATAGATCTGATTTCAGTGACTGTTATTTCTAGAGAGACTGGCATTTTGTACAGCAGTTGAGGGCCAAGATATATCATGTTTCACAGATTGCATTCATATTTTGAATTTCATTAGGTAATGAGTGAGTGGCCTAGTGTGAACAAAGGAATGTTGAAGCAGTATTTCACCAGCTCTCTATCCTTGAATGAACCTGTTTCCATTTGAAGTTCTTAGTGATATTCAAACAATATTTATGATAGAACCTGAATAGATTTCTACCTAAAAATGTATTTTATTTCATAGGAATATATTTTTGGGAGAGACATTTTCCAGTTATATCAGTGTTCACAATGACAGCAATCAAGTTGTAAAAGATATATTGGTAAAAGTAAGTAATGTCTTCCTTAAGATTTCTATTTTTTAACTTTGATTTCCATTATTATGTTTTTGGGCCTGTAAAAAAATCCATGTTTGATATTGGAGTTTTTCATTGTCACTAGCAAGCCTCAGTGAATGTCTAAAGGTATAAAATACTATGTTGGGCACAGAAACATTTTTAAGAGTTAGGAGGAAATTTCACTGGGGATTGGATCAACCAGAAAAGTTTATTGTAGGACAGGGAACTCGAGAAGATCTTCAAAGAATAGTAGGAGGCTGAGCTCAGTGGCTCATGCCTGTAATCCCAGCACTTTGGGAGGATGAGGCAAGAGGCCTGCCTGAGCAAGGAGTTCAAGACCAGACTGGACAAATGGCAAAACCTCATCTCTGCAATAAATAAACAAATTAGCTAGGCATGGTGGTGTGGGCTTATTATAGTCCTAGCTACTTAGAAAACTATGGCAGAAGGATTTTTTTCATTTATTGTAGAGCTGAGGTCTCGCTGCCCAGGTGGGTCTCGAACCCGCGGGCTCAGGCAATCCACTCACCTCAGCCTCCCAAAGGCGCGGGATTACAGGCTAAGCCACCAAGCCCAGCTCATTGCCTGTCTGTTTATAAGGCTTTTGAACTAAGTATCATTTTTACATTTCAAATGATTGAAAAGAAACAAAAGAATATTTCATGACATGTGGAAATTATATGAAATTCAAATTTCAGTGTCCATAAGTAAAGTTTTATTGATACAAAGCCATGCACATTCATTTTTCTGTTATCTGTGACTGATTTCCATCTACAACAGCAGAGTTGTATAGTTGGAACAGAGACTGTATGACCTGCAAAATCTGAAATATTTGTTATGCAGCTTTTCAAAGCAAAATTTGTCAGTCTTTGCATTCAATTATGAAAAGGTCTGATTTTCAAAGTTTTGAGAACATATCACTTTTGTTCTTGGCATATGGTTGGCATTCAGTAAATATTGGATTTATTTTTATAAGATAAATTAATAAATTAGCAAAGGCATAAAATTTCAGATAAGTCAGTATGCTAAAGATCAAATAATACAGTAACATACATGATCTAAAACATGAGTTTGTATTTTCTTTATTTTGTTTTAATTTCTATAATGGCAATAGTATTTAGGATAATAACAGCAACGGCTGTTTATTGAGCAGTGCAGTACCCACCAGGGATCTTCTTAGGCTCAACTAGACATTCAGACTCATGACATTCACATAAGCCATTTTTTTCACAACTCCATCTTTACAGCACAAGCCTTTTTTTTTTTTTTTTTTTTTTTTTGTAGGAGTCACTCACACTTTTTTTTTGTACTAACATATATTTCTCCTTCCATTGTTATCATGCGTGTCATATGAATATAAATTGTCATCTTATTTTGTCACCATCCATTTCTTCTGAAGCTGTTTTCACAGTGTTATTTAAATTCTGACTTTTGAAAATTTTTATTTACAAGTTTTTTGGATACATAATACTTGTACATATTTATGGGTACATGAAATATTTCGATACAAGTGAATAATGTGAAATGAATTAATCTGGGGAAACTGGAATATTCTTCACCTCAAACATGTATCATTTCTTTATGTTGGGAACATTCCATATCTACAAGTTACTTTGAAATGTGTA